CACATTCTGTCTCTCACAGCTGAAGTGTACCTCTGGTGCAAATTACTGACCTCTGTCATCATTTTAGGTGGGGGAACTTGCACAATCGGTGGCTGACTAAATACTTTTTTGCCCCACTGTAAATGAGGAGGAGACACATTTGGGGAAAATTAACTAACAAAGCCAATGAATATTGTTTTGAGACTTCACAAAGTCTACTGACCCTGCTCACTTCCTATGACTGATGGTTTCCTGCTCTAAATGTAATTAGTATCCCTTTCTAGAAGGTTTGGTTCCCCTGAGTGCCATTGTGACAGGAAATTGTCTAGAAATGGCCATCCATACAACCTACTGTTGACTTCAAGTCACAGCTGACTCTTTTGTGCCACTGAATGATCAGATTTGAACAGGTCAGATTAATCAATATTTTGGAAAAAAAAAAAAAAAAAAAAAAAGTAAAACATCCATAATGTCAAAAGTGAACTACAAGATGGTAAGACCGAGAATAACTGAATGGTTAACTCTATTTCTTCTCCATACAGGTAAACACAAAAAGCTATGTACTGAACAGTGACAATCAGGCAATGATTGCTAAACTAATGACTTCTTTCAAAGGCTTTCACAACAAAAGAATCCTCTCTGACACTAATGTTGTGAAGCAGGAGAAAGCTGTCCATTAGCCTAAAGAAGATCTGAAAAGGTGTGAAGTCAACAATAAATGAAGCTTCTAGTTGTTTCAGACTACAGGAGTGAAGCTGAACTCCAGCCCGCAAAGATTCACAGGATCACAGATGTGTAGCTCAGTACAACCATCCCTGCTGTGAGGCTGGGGTGGAAGGAAACGCATGTTTTCACGGCTTGGCACGGCGTGTCTAAAGCCAGTTGGTGGTTAAGCTTTTTCAGTCGCTGACTTATTTTTGCTTTCCTGTTGCATTCATTACATTATTTAAAGATTTCATACTTTCCCAGCAGTGCCGTCAGAAGCACTAATCAGTTGTCGAGCTGTTTAATCACCCATTCTGATTACAAACATCTGCTGTTTGCTGCTGGAAATTTGTATTTGTTTGATCTTTTTTTTTTTTTTTTTTGTTAAATTTTCTCAAATTTAATTTTAACTGCCTGAAGTCTCTCAGGAAAATGGAAATATAATAAAGCTCAGGGGGAGCATAGGACTGCTCAGCTCCCCTAATAAAGATTGAAAAGGGCCATTTTTCTTAATGAATGTTTTTACTGTAGGAACTTAAAATATATATTTGATTTGAAAACAGATGCACTAAAGGATACTAAGGTAGAATTACAACTTTTACTTATGTAAAGGGACTAAATATTTGTTTATCGAGTTTGCAAAATAGTTATCCAACACAAGTTTTTAACTTAAACACAGCATGCTGTGTTTAAGTTAAAAACTTGTGTTGGATAACTATTTCTACCCTGTAGATATGCTGATAGGTAGACCATTTAAGGCTTTAAATACAAACGGTGCCACTTTATACTTTATACAACAGCAAGAGCCCCATGTGATGACATGGATTTCATAATATGTCAGTATCTCACTTTTTTAATCATACTCTCATAGGTTCATACTATGGTAAATCATTCCCTCGTGTTAATTTTAAATGACAGCTAAACATTAACTGTTCAGTTGCAAGGCATCAATCTTTTGTACAGAAAAACCCCATGTTTAAAAAAATAAATAAATACTGGTAATCAAAGGCATGAACATAACAATAACATATTCTTTTGGTATTCTTTTTGCCAAAGAAGCTACATCAAATTACTATTCAAACAGGTGAATGAATGAATATAGTTTCATGTACACAAGCCTTGATAAATATGGCCCTACGGTATATAAGTCAAATTTACATTTTGGTATAAATCCCAAGTGCAGCAGCAGTATGAAAATGAGATCACGATTCAGTCTGTGTGAAACCTGCAGGGTAACACAAATCTAGTTACAAATCTGCAGAGAACAATAAACCAGACAGAGGAGGGCTGAGGAGGAGCTGCAGTCATAGTGAGCTTGAACCACAGCAGTCAGGTCATCAAGCAGCTCCCTGTTTCCATGTGTCAGCAAAAGAAATGAAGTGCAGTGCCATGCAAATGGCCAGGCAACCATAAACACAGACAGCCAGCAAACCAAGCAGGAACCCCAAGCATCAGTCCAAACAGAGTATTTTAAAGGAACACTATTCTGTTATTATTACTATACCATAAATCTACACTTTAATCACATTTTGCATGGATTGCATCTGGGGATGCCGTGATCTGATATTTGGATCACATACCAGTCCAATCCTTACTTGTAAAGCTGGATCGGATATAGGTGATGATGAGCTACATGTTGTTTACTACACTACACAGCGGCAACAGAGCATAGTTAGCTAACAGCAAAGGAAGGCAGTTTGGAGGCCCTTCACATTGGCTACAACAACAGCTTTTCTTTATGTTTGCCGTAGTTTCAATTTAACTGCAACTGTGGTCAATGTGAGCAGGTATGACTAAAAGACAGTGGCGACAAAGAAAAGTCACTGTCATTTGTATCTTAGAGGCAGTACGTGTTTGGAAGCTTTTACCACATTTACAGGAATGTAAGATGTTGTAACCAGCCGTGTTAACAGTTCTTCACTTCATCGGTCTCTGTCAGCTCCACCCTGCATGCAACGTGTGTGTGTGTAACAGTAAATTAAGGTGCACTCAGAACAAAGAAGGACCGCAAAAACTAACATAAATAAGGGCAGTATGGAGTAGCACGTGACTCAGAGCCCAGAAATCAACATTACTGAAGCAGTGAGGGATCATCAAAACAAAAGGCAGCCAACATCAAAAGAAGAGCGTATGAGGGTTCAGGCATTGTTGATGAACAAAGGTGACCATATCAAATATCAACTTTCAAGTTCGTTAGAATTATGCAAACATATACTGCATTTTCATTTATGTTTCTATTATTCACCACAGCCACTTCCCAATTTACCCAGCAAAATATAAAGAGATAAGGAGTGACACAAGACTTTTGCACAGCACCGCATACTAACCTAATCAGCGAACAAAACATCTACAGTGTGAGGAAAAGCTGCATTTAAACCTTGGGAGTAAAACACTGAGTAAAACATCATTGTCCTGTACATGAAAAAAATTAAGTCCATCTGAAGAGAAACTGCGCATATATGATAATAATGATTCCCCATTGAATCAATGAATAGAACTGTTAACAAAAATGTCACTATTTTATTATTAATCTATGCTGCTGTTGTTGCATTAAGACACTATAGTAGATCAAATGTTTTGCTTTAGCGTAAGATTTCAAAGAAGAGACATCTTTACTGAGACCAGTCATTAAAGACCAGTCTTGTTTCAGGCGTGAGGAAAAAAAAATAAATCAATCTTTCCATCTTGTGAGGACACACACACATGGGGCTCCTGTTTATTACTGATGGTCCTCTCCTACAACCACACACAGTGGCAGACAACAATAACCCTGGACGGCAGCATGTACAGAATCTGTATAGTACACTGACAAAGCTGTGAGGTGATAGCCCTTCTCTTGTTCTTGCTACACACATTAAACAAATGCACACATGTAAGGTGTACACACATCTCTGAGATTGTTTATCTTTAAGACACTGCCCGGAGCCTTTTTGCTCACCACAGTCTTACACAGATAATGAGGAAGCAGTGTCAGTTGCAGAGCGCAAAGGAAAAGATTGGCTGGGAAGAACTAGGGTGTGTTTGCATGTCACAGAGTACTAGTCACTTGTTTCTATTTCTTTGCTGGATCAGATAAAGATGAAGTTTCAGGCCTTTGCGCTTAAAAAACAAGGTCACCAGGATGTGAGAATCTGATACCGGTTTCCTTGACAGCAAAATGTGTGAGAAGGCTTTTGCACAGTGAGTGGATTATACAGGTAAAAATAAACATTATCTCACTGAATCTCACATCAACACATGACAAGCCCATTATTCACCCATTACTCAGTGCAAGCCCTCATTCATGGAGCATCCTTGGACTGTCTGCCCTCTTAAAAAAGATAAGAAAGAGTACTTGGGGGAAGAAGGGTGGAGAATTGTTTAATTTCTTGACTAGTGAGGCGTGTGGTGTATTTAATAGAATAGAATAGAATAGAATAGAATTCAACTTTATTGTCATTGCACATGCACAGGTACAGGGCAACGACCCACCCTTTCTCTATTTTTGTTATTACAGTTGGGTTTTTAAAATTATACAGCATATCTGCCCTCATGAGTCAGTAGTGAGTTATTTAACTCGCCTGTAGTAAGAGCAGTAAAGCCAGTCAAGCACATTACAAGGGATTTAGTTGTTAACCCCACTCTGATTAGATAAATACAGCAAGAACAACCGGATTCACCTATGATGAGTAGTTAGAGGGCATGCATGAGCAGTACAGTAAACATCTGGAGGGAGATATTTGTAGCAGTCCCTCTGCTATCTATAATCCCATCTTGCAAACTCATACTCCAAGATCCTGTAATCTACTGGCCTGGTTTGTTTGGACATGACAGCTCATTATCCTGGCCTGCTGCTGTTGCTTAAGAATGCCTGGACTACAGGGGCCTGCATGCTCTGCAGTCGGCTCATGGCTCGGCTGGATCAACATCTGTGGCCAAAATGACACATCATCCTCTCGCTTTGCGGCACCAAATGTTCCGGCTTCCTACGGCAACATGATTGTGTAACGACACGAAACGAGGACGGGACATTGAGGAAAAGACGATATAAACATGGCACACCAGCAGCGTGCTAAGCATTAGCAAGAAATATGGTTTATGTGCTAATGAATGGGCCGCGTCTCCGCTGGCATGTTGTACAGTGGATTTTTTTCACTGATACAAATGGAGCAGACCCTGGAAGCAGCGGCTGCTACTGATGTCGGCCCGTTCAGTTATCATAGCATTTAATAAACCAATAAGCTCGCAAGCCCTTCAACTGACTGCTCGTGAAAACGCTAATGTTTAATTTAAATATAAAACCGTCAAATAAACAAATAAGATTCGTTAACGCTTACCTGCACTCCTTTTCCATAATCGGAGCGGTGTGTTTAGCGTCGCTCCCAAGCCGGTCTGTCGTAAACGTCAAACGTGTGTTACCGGCTAATTAAAATCTTAATAAACCACCGAGGACAAATACGCCGTCCAGCACAGTGCCATCCTCCTGCCGCCGTTCGACCGGGGAGGAAGCGCCGCGTCTCTCGCTCGCTGGTCGCGAGGCAGCGCACGCGGTGAGAGGGGACGTGCGCGTGCGAACCGAATTTAGAGGAGAAAAATATTTCTGGAGGCGTCCACTGAAATAACCATGACAGCCGTGTGATGTAGTCAACGGCTCAGCAGGGATGTGGTATAAACGGATGCATCAATCATTGCAAGTAAATCACACAGAATGGCTGGCGTTCTTAGGCTTCAGGTTGAGCTCGAGGTAAGGCGAACCAATCAAACAGCGGAACGAGGCGAGAGCGACACGCCACGAGCCAATGGCAGGGCCGAATTACGGGATTCCAGTGGAAGGACAACGTATACAACCAATCACCGAGGAGCTTTATTCTGTTAGAAGGCGGGCTCCGCAGGTGTCACAGAGCGGTGTCAGTTAAACGGATTTATCGGTATTTGGCAACGATATTATTCATTATCTGACAAAAAATAAATAAATAAAAATAAAAAACATGTAATTGTTTCAACTAATTTGTGGTAATACTTTTGATTATCTTATAACCGACAGAAGCAGCTACCTGTTACTGGATAGTGAGAGTGCATAATAATAATAAAAATAATAATAATAATAAGTATAATGTAAACTGTCAAAACTAAATGTGCTGGAGGTTATAAGTGCTGATGCATCACTCATATGTAAGTAGCATTTAAACTAACCTATTAGTTATTGTATTGACTAGTCTAGTTTGTATTTGAGATGTTAATGATTTGTATGGAGACGTTATTCTGTTAAATAACAACTAGAGAAACATCTAGTTGTTTCTCTAGAAACAACACCTTAACTTTCCTGAGTTTAATGTGAACTTATGTGAACTAATCAATCAAGATGTGATTCAATCAAGATCTGATTAGAGAATGTAAACTCAGTAAAGAAAGGGGGCGATCAAAGTGCAGTTGCTTTTAAGATGAGGTTAGTAATACAGCATTTAAAGCTGGAAAAAAGGAGCCAAGATTAGATCATCTGGGCCAGATCTTTGGCCGAGACTTGCCAGTTTTGAATCACAATAGCCCCATTGAGAATTCTGCTACAGCTTTGCTACCAATGCTGCCAATAAAAACACACGCACATTTCACATAGTGTATGAAGTAAAAATAATTATATTACATGGTGTGAGATTCTGCACATTGCCTATGGAAAGGCAGACCTGGTTCCAGGGAAACACTCAAGTGAACAAACACACAATACGTAATCAAAATAATCCCAGTATTCTTTTCTTTATTTTTGTTAGTTTCTGTTATTTTTACCTTCCAAGAGACACCCGGTTTTTAATAGACTAACAAAACTGTCACTTTATAGTTAAACTATGATTAATTGGACTGTACAAATGTAAAGTGATAAACATTTAGATTCAAATATTGTCTCAGTGTCCTCTATTCCCCCCAAATTCACATTCACATCTTGAATTTCAGTTATATATGGAAATGTGACCTAACATATTGAGACATGCCACAATACAACAAACGATGATGGTGTTTTAATAACAGGATATATTTTAATTGACTTTTATTTTCTTACTCTCTAAAGGCAGGGCTTGAAGGGTGACTGACTTACTGTGCACAGTATTGATAATGTGCATCATCTGGGCAATTACTTTATTGCCATCAAGTGGACAAATTGGATACTACACTTTTCCATACCCAAAGCAGCAAATACAGCTTAACTGATACCTACTGGTTTTTTTGTTTGTTTTATTATTAATTTTAAATCTAATTATTGGCATTTATGGATGTTGGTGTACAAAATTTTGGAGACATTGTGCATTTCTTCATATTTTGTTTTCAATGAGCCATGCTTAATATGGTTTCTTAAAGTGGTCTCGGACAGTAGTATACCAGCTCCAGCTCAAGACTAAGAAATTTAGAAAATCATGGATTGATGGAATACATATTTTTATTCTTTCGTTCAAATCATACAAAGGACGTCAGGACAGAGACACAACAGTGAGTGCCTATAGCCATTTGTAAAACACGGTGAAGGCTCTGTCGTGGTTTGGGACTGCATTTCAATTAGTGCTGATGGAGATATTCTCTCTTCTACGGAATTATGACTGCAGAAAGGTTTAATCAGTCAAATCTACCATGCATAACCATCTGTGAAGCACCTGATTGGCATGGTAGTGGTTTTACAAAATACAGACTTTAAATCTTGTTAGAATTGTACAAGCTTTTTTTTTTTTAACTTATATACTGTATCTCCATGTATGTTTACCTGTTTCAATCGATCGATGCACCCATTTTCAATTTTCCTAACAAAATATAAAGAAGGGGGGCCTGAAGACCTTTTCAGAGTAATGTATGTATAATCATTTTCTTTATAATTTTACTAAAACAAGCATCGATACCGGTACTGGCAGACAATCACTTTTTGGCACAACACCGGCCCTCTGCTGATGCATTCAGGTGTTCTTCCAAATACCGTAATAATGGAAAAAAAAGTATAGGTATAAGAGACAAGACCATGATTTTTGGCTTAAGAACATAGACCGTACGTAAGCTCATGCGTGAGAGTTAAGGTGGCGAAGAACCGGAAAATTCAGCCATCGAAGTGTTTTATTTAAGTATTAATGTTGGAAATGGAATCAGAAAGCTAAACATTATCCAGATTGTACCTGAACGCAGCATACGTGTGTGCTCGTTAGAAGCTCCTAGCTAGCTCGTTAGTTTCACGCAGATCGATAATCCGCGGAGTGTAAAATTTCATAGCAAGGTGACGTTGATGTTCCTTCATATTTTTTCTGCATTACATTCTGAAATGCGTAGACGTGTTTAAAAACTAAGAAATGCTTTGAACGCTTTGCACCCGTCTCAAATTTGTTGATTTGAAGGTTGCTTCGGTAGCTAGCATGCTATGCAAATTCATGTTAGCTTCGCTCCGATTCAGTTTTGATTTAATATAGACAGCTTAGCTTTAGGTGCAATAGATAATTTTGTTTCTAAATAGACACATATTTTAAATACCGTGTAATTAACAATATTAGAGTTACATAAATGGAAATGTTTGCCGACCCATCTTGCTAACTAGCCGGTATGAATGAAGGGGAAGGACTCCATTGTTTATACCGGGTCACACGCTGACCTGCATTTTGACTTGAGATAGTTATCCTTTGTATTACACTAGACATTAAACAGTGAGCAGACAGAGGTCCATTCTGACTATCCCCAGCCTTAAATTCGCTGATTAGATTTGACTTAATTGAGCATTTTTATTCTTATTTTTTTAATTATTCTATCAGCCTAGCACGTCAACAATTCGTTATTAACACTGTTCATCTGTTAATTTATGTACACTGTTATTTATATAGGTACGTGTCTAATGATGATTTATTTATTGGTTAATAATTGTAAAAAGTATAAAGATATACATTTGATTTATTTATTCATACTTTTAAAACCTCCTGGCTTTCTCATAAACTATTAATCCACATATTAAAGAGGGTTCTTAGATATAATCTCTACTATAACAAATGTCCTTGCTGTACATTCTTTTATACAGATGTCAGAGAATAATCTTGATAATGAACTTCTGGATTATGAAGAGGATGAGGAGCCTCAGGGAGTCCCAGAGAGTGGGACCCCAGCAAATAAAAAGGAGGTGAAGGGGTCATATGTATCCATCCACAGCTCGGGATTCAGAGACTTTCTCCTCAAACCAGAGCTGCTCCGTGCCATCGTTGACTGTGGTTTTGAGCATCCCTCAGAAGGTGGATAGCAGGGCTATTTAAAGTTCAAATAAACTCCTGGACATGATCCTGATCATAGAACTACAGCCACACATAATAAATGATTTCTTATGATGTTGTAACTGCACGCTTAGTATGTATATAAAGAAAAATGTATAATTGCCAATTGGTTTTACTTTCAGTTCAACATGAATGCATCCCTCAAGCTATCCTGGGCATGGATATCCTGTGTCAGGCCAAGTCTGGTATGGGAAAGACAGCAGTGTTTGTGCTAGCCACCTTGCAGCAGATAGAACCTGTGGATGGTCAGGTGAGTTTGTCATTACAGTTTTACAAGCTCTCTAATTCTGCGTTGTTATGGGACGTTACATAGTTGGCTAAGAAATTAAAGAAAAGATGTGAATCCTTAACCCCTGCAGCGAAAAGAACAGGTAGCTCTGTTATGCTCTGGGAGCACAGTTCAGGAAGAAGAAAGGCTTCTTTCAGATCAATATGAATTTTTTTTTTTGATTGATCACATTTATTTTCAAACACATTTCTACAATAGTAGAAGTGAACTCCCAAGACAAGCCTATAGATCAGGGGTGCCCAATCCCAGTCCTCGAGCTCTACTATCCTGCAGCTTTTAGATGCATCCCTACTCCAACACAGCTGAATCAAATGGTGTGATTGCCTCTTCAGCATGCCATCAAGTTTGGCAAAGGCCTGATAACAAGCCATTCAGTTGATTCAGGTGTGTCAGAAGAAGGATGCGTCTAAAAGCTGCAGGACGGTAGCTCTCGAGGACTGGGATTGGGCACCCCTGCTATAGATTGTGTTGTTGGTTAACATTTCGGTGTATGATTATCTACTGTAATTTGCATGTGTTACACACCCAGTGTTTTTGACTACAAACAATACAGACGTTATGTTCAGCATTAGCAAACTTTAATCTGGAATTACTCAGGCTTTGATGAAATCAGATAATCAAAACGTCTCTGTCTGAATGAGAACCAGAAGCGTTTGAGTTCATGTCCGATGTCTTTAGCTTCTAGTCCAGCACGGTGCCTTTAAGATCTTTTTAAGTATTTTCTAATTTGCTCTTTCACATTATAAAGTAGTCATGATTTGGGGGATTTATAAAGGAAGTTTGTGATATTGTAATAGCATTATACACAAATGAGATAAACAACAATGTACATGCTATATAAAGATGAAAGCGTTGATAAAACCTCTGTGTTGTTTCCTTGCAGGTGTCTGTCCTCGTGATGTGCCACACACGAGAGTTGGCATTCCAGATCAGCAAAGAGTACGAGCGCTTCTCCAAGTACATGCCCACTGTCAAGGTGTCAGTGTTCTTTGGTGGCATGGCTATCAAGAAGGATGAGGAAGTCCTGAAAAAGAACTGCCCTCACATTGTTGTGGGAACTCCAGGACGTACACTGGCCCTCATTCGTAACAAGACCCTCAGTGTGAAGAACATCAAACACTTTGTGCTTGATGAGTGTGATAAGATGCTGGAGCAGTTGGGTAAGTGAGAGGAACCAAGCTGTTTATAGT